GAAGAAGGGCAGAATTTGGCAAAGTCAAAATCCATGTTCAGGGTACCTACTTTGGAGGCATGGTTCTCTCAATTAGCTTGGTGGAAATTCAAGGTTAAGGTTTTATTTTAAATATAAAGTTTCCATGTTTCCAATGGTATTACTTTTGGATCCAGATGATATCATTAAGGTTGTTTTCCAAGGCCTCAAAGTTGCTACCTCAAAACTAGAAAGCTGCCAGAAAATGGCTAAGGCAGAAAACTGTTTTGTGAAGCCTACTTTGGAGCTCATTTCAAGGTGCATGGATCTGATTCAAGTCCAAAGGCTTCCAAAACATGAAACTAGGTATTTTTGTGAACAAAGGGAAGGAATTGGATGAAAGATTGGAGTTCGCGAAGGCCTCGAACTAATGGCACGAAGTTAGTACAAAAACTGTTTTGGGACAGTTTGCTTGTGCTAAAAGGCAGCTTGCTTGTGCTTGAAGAAAGAGAGTTTATGGCCGACTTTTGAGACCTTTTTAGAGTTTGTTTTTACCATAATTTTTTTCTAGTTCTATTAGGTTTGTATTAAGTTTTTATTGTCTTTGAATAGCTTTCAATTTCACATTGTAAATCATCCAAGTTTTAGTTGAATGAAATTGCTCCTTTGTGAGAATTGTGTTCTTTGAGAGTTCTCAAGAATCAAATCCTTGAGTTAGTTGTGTGAGGAATTCCATTGCTAATTCGAGAACCCTTGTCAATCTTTTTTGTGAGGATTACAAAATCGGTTTACGAGTTTTCTTATCAATCAAGTAAACACCTTGATTGTGGCGAAATTCTACCTATCCATTTTATCTTTCGTTGAAGAATTCCGAGCTGTGTATTCTGATCAAACAAAGCACCCCCTGGTGCTTTATCAAGCACGGAGAGTATTGACTGCGCAGCCTAAGGAGGAGAGTGAACAACAAGAAAATATCTTCCATACGAGGTGTGTAGTTGATGAGAAGTTGTTGTCTCTAGTGATCGATGAAGGAAGTTGCACGAACGTTGTGAGCGCGTGTGCGGTGAAGAGGCTATGGCTGCCCACGTTGAAGCATCCAAAGCCATACACGCTGCAATGGCTTAATGATCACGGATCCATCAAAGTCACAAAGAAGGCACTAATGAAGTTCGAGATTGGAGATTACAAAGATGAGATTTTGTGTGATGTAGTGACTATGCAAGCTGCGCATGTGCTTTTTGGCAGGCCATGGCAGTTTGATGGACAAGTACAGCATGATGGAGTGACAAATAAGTACAAGTTACAACATGAAGGACATAAGTCCATGTTAAAGCCTCTGTCTCCAAGTGATGTATATCGAGATCAACTCCAAATGCAGCAACGTCGAGAGCAAGAAAAAGCAAGTAATGCCTCGGCCAAGAAAGGAGAAGAAGGAACTGGAATGATGGATTCGAAGACATTGATTCTAGCACGCATTGTTGATCTGAAGCAAGCTACCTGTGCATGAGAAACTTTGATTGTGCTCATGTACAGGGACGTGCTACTCAATCAAGAACTATTCCAAGAAGTTCCAGCTGAAGCAAGAGTGGTGTTGGATGAGTTCGAGGATGTGTTTGCAGAGGAAGCACCGAAGGGGCTGCCTCCTATTCGCGAAATTGAGCACCAGATTGATTTCGTGCCGGGAACTCAAACTCTAAGCAAGGCAGCATATCGAGCTAATCCAGAAGAGAACAAAGAGCTGTAAAGGCAGATTGACGAGCTCATGGAGAAGGGGCATGTTCGAGAGAGTTTGAGCCCGTGTGAGTTCTGGTGATTCTCGTGCCAAAGAAGGATCACACCTGGCGGATGTGTGTAGACTGCCGAGCCATCAATCAAATTACAATTAAGTATCATCATCCAATTCCACGATTAGATGATATGCTTGATGAATAACATCGCTCTACGGTGTTTTCCAATATTGATTTGAGATCAGGTTACCACCAAATTTGTATGAAGGAGGGAGACGAGTGGAAGACTGTGTTTAAGACCAAGCAGGGTCTATATGAAGGGATGGTGATGCCCTTTGGTTTGACTAATGCTCCTAGCACGTTCATGATGTTGATGAACCACATTTTGAGGCCATTCATTGGCAAGTTCGTGGTCGTATACTTCGACGACATTCTGATCTACTCGAAGTGCATGGAGGATCGTCTCAATCACTTGAGAGAGGTGTTGGCGATGTTGAGAAAGGAGAAATTGTGTGCTATCCTCAAGAAGTGCTCGTTTTACACTTAAGTGTGATTTTTCTTGGTTTTGTGGTGAGTGCAGATGGATTCAAGGTGGACGAAGAGAAAGTGAAAGCAATTCGAGATTGGCATATCCCAACCAACGTGAATGAGGTGCGGAGCTTTCATGGGCTTGCTGGGCTCTAGCGTTGATTTGTACCCAACTTCAGCACCATTGCCGCACCATTGACATCCATCATCAATAAGAATGTGGTGTTCTATTGGGGAGAGGAGCAGACCAGAGCATTCGAGCTGCTCAAGCACAAGCTCACACACGCCCCTATTCTTATGTTGCCGGATTTCAATAAGACATTCGAGGTGGAGTGTGATGCTTCTGGTTTGGGAATTGGAGCAGTGTTGATTCAGGAGAAGAAGCCGATAGCTTACTTCAGCGAGAAGTTGAGTGGGGCTGCCCTCAACTATCCTACGTACAACAATGAGCTCTATGCTCTAGTTTGAGCCTTGAAGACGTGGCAGCACTATCTATGGCCGAAGGAGTTTGTGATTCATACTGATCATGAATTGTTGAAGTATTTGAAAGCTCAACACAAGCTAAACAAGAGACATGCTCGATGGGTTGAGTTCATTGAGTCCTTTCCATACGTGATCAAGTACAAGCAGGGCAAAGAGAATGTAGTTGCTGATGCCCTATCTCGAAGGCATACGCTGATCACTACGATGGGAGTAAGTTACTTGGGATTCGAGCATATTAAGGATCTCTACATTGATGATGCTGGTTTCGGAGAGATTTATAACAAGTGTGAGAAGCATGGAGACGAGAAGTTTTTATCATAGTGATGGCTATTTGTTTCAAGCTAGTCAGTTGTGTATTCCTCGAGCATCACTTCTAGAGTTGCTGTTGAAAGAGGCTCATGGAGGCGGCTTAATGGCACATTTCGGTGTTGATAAGACATTGAGTTGTCTACAAGAGCACTTCTATTGGCCGCACATGAAGGAAGACGTGGAGAATCTGTGTGCGAGGTGTGTGGAATGCAAGCAGGCCAAGTCGAAGGTGCTATTATCTGGATTGTACACACCACTGCTGATTCCATATGCTCCATGGATCGATATTTCTATTGACTTTGTGCTTGGTTTGCCGCGGACAAGGAAGGGACGAGATTGGATTTTTGTGGTGGTGGATCAATTCTCTAAGAAGTCACACTATATCCCGTGTCATAAGACGGATGATGCTATTAATGTCGCTGATTTGTTTTTCAGGGAAGTGGTGCGATTGCATGGGATGCCGCATTCTATATTATCCGATCGAACTACTAAGTTTCTGAGTTCCTTTTAAGAACGTTGTGGAGCAAACTGGGAACAAAGTTGCTGTTCTCTACCACATGTCACCCTCAAACTAATGGGAAAACAGAGGTTGTCAATCGAACTCTGTCCCATATGCTGCAAGCTATGATCGAGAGAAACATCAAGATTTGGGAGGACTGCCTTCCCCACATGGAGTTTGCTTACAACGGGATGGTGCACACGACGACAAAGTTCACACCGTTCGAGCTCGTGTATGGTTTCAATCCACTCACTCTTTGGATTTGATGCCATTACCTTTGAATGAGCAGGTCAATCTAGATGGAGCTAAGAAAGCCGAGTTCGTGAAGATTTTACATGAAAAGGCGAGATAAACATTGAGAGAAGGATGGAGCAGATCATGCGCAATGTGAACAAGAACAGGAAATCGAGGCACTTTGAGGTGTGCATTTGAGGAAGGAGAGGTTTCCCCAGCAGAGGAAATCAAAGTTGTTGCCCCGATGTGATGGTCCTTTCTAGGTGATCTCAAAGATTGGAAGCAACGCCTACAAGATCAACTTGTCGGGAGAGTATGGAGTAAGTGCTACATTCAATGTTTCTGATTTAGCACCATACTTGGATAGCAATTCGAATTTGAAGTCAAATCCTTTTGAAGAAGGAGGGGCTAATGAGGACATCAATGGGCCAGTCACACGTGCCAAAGCTAGAAGATTGAAAGAGAAGCTTGCTACATACTTTGAGAGTAATTTTGGAGCAATGGACGTGGAGCTACTGCGAGGAAGGTCATTCATGATGATTCAAGTGCTGGAAGAAGGAGGACAAGTTGAAGCGAAGATCGATCACAAGAACCAAGCTTAACGGGTCCATTCTTAACTGGTTCTTAATGGGTTTTGGGTCTGTTTTGGGCTTAACAGGTTCTTATCGGGTTTGGGGCATTAAAACCGAGTTTTGCATTGTGTTTCCTTCTTAGAGTCGGATTAGAGGTGTTTTCCTCTTGGGAGTCGGATTTGGAGTTGTTAGGCCTATTTAAAGAGGCTGAACCATCTGTTTAAGGGTTAGACGATCATTGATAAAAACCCTAAAGGCTGTTGTCGTGTTTCCTTTAAGGAAATCTGTTCTACTTCTTTGTTTAGTACCTCCGAAGGCTAGAACAAACTCTTATCAGCTAGGTATTCACCCTGGTTGTGGAGAGCTACCCTCTATTGATGGCCCTTTATTCCGGATTGAATCTGTCTGATCGATATCATATCGATTGCCCTTATTCACTAGTGAGTATTGTCCGATCAATTCCACCCTATTTGGTTATGTTTGGTTCGAGCAGCTTGACCCTTGTGCTACTTTGATTATATCAGATACCATGATCATAGTGAAAGAGGTATGCCAAATTCGTAAAAGAAAACAAAAAAGCCATTTCCTCAACACTCCCATGTTCCATTATCCAGGAGATGAACCCGTTGGTAGAAGGGGGAGCGCGGCGATGTGGAGGCACGAAGCAGAGGAGAAGGGAGAGCGCGGCGAATGCGGGACAGGAGTCGAATGTCGGCGGTGAGGTGGAGGCGCGGAGCAGAGGAGCAGGGGGAGGGCGACGACTGCGATACTGGATCGACCATCGACGGGAGGAGGAAACAGGTCTGGGCGGCGGCGGGAATGGAGTCTGGACGGCGAGTCGCCGACTGCCGGCGAGGCGGCAACCTGGTGTCTCACAATTCGATTTTAGAGAGGGAGAGGGAACGTGCGGTGGGTCTGCTTGGTGGGGAGGGGGGAATTTGGGAAATGAAAAGGGTTGGGGAATGGGAAGGTCGATAGGTTGTGGGCGTGGCTCACTTAGGGTTTGGGTGTAGCCGGGTATCCACGGGTCGGGTACCCCCAAAGCCGAACCCTACCCAAGCCGCCCAGCCAGCCACCGGGTTTCAACCTGAACCCGACCCAAACCCATTCAACACGAGTTTTACCCGCTTTGACCGGGTTGGGTCGGTGGGTACACGCGGGTTCGGGTTTTATTGCCATCCCTATCCATAAACCTTAGATAAATTCCTGCTGCTTGTTTAAGTCCGAATAGTAAGTCATTCCAGTAATAGTGTTTTTTAGGTGGGCATGACAAAACTATTAATGGCTTTGTGTTTTCATGTAGACGTAATTGCCAATATCCCGATTTTACATCTAAACTACTAAACCACGTTTTACCCTTTAATCGTTCTAGTATATAATCCTTTGTAGGTAGTTTATAAATATCTCCTATAGTTTGTTCGTTTATTTTTTTGTAATTTATTACCATACGTCTCTTTCCTCTTTAACTCTTTATTATATTCTACATAAAATGTCGGAGCGCTGTGAGGACTTTTACTTTCCCTAATGATTTTCTTATTAAGTAACTCTTTACATTCTTCTTGAAATTCTTATACATCTCTTTGTGTATATTGAATTTTATTTGGGACATTAACTTGTTATATTTAAATCTCTTTGTGTATTTTCATTTTGGGTGCTCGGAGACTAATATTTTTAATCCTTTGGGTAAAAAGTTGGTATAACTTAAGAAAATTATTTCCTATTATAATATCTAATCCCGAGTCATGTAAATATATTGTTTTAACAGTAAAAACGTATAGGTTCTATAATAAAGAGTACATAATTTTTCACATACCAGATCTCATGTATCGATTTATCTGCGACTACAATTTTTTGAGGTTTGACTAATTTTTCCTAATTTTTAATGGTTGTAATTTTTGAAAAATAAAGTGATTCTTCTGTATCTATATATGCAAAAAAATCATTGTTTTCAATAGTGACTTTTACAAAATGTTGCATTTGGATTACTTTTAGTTAGTATCTTCTTCTGACTCATCTGAAGATATCTTTAAGTATGCAAGGTATTCAATTATTTCTATATCTGATGTCTCAAAGTCTGTTTCTTCTATAGGTTCAAATCCGTAATCGTAAGTCTTAGAACTTATTGTTTCTTATTATTAGTGTTTTTCTTTGGACATTTATTAGCATAATATCCTTCTTCATTACAAAGCCAACATCTACAATTGGTTTTACCTTTCGGACAATGATCTTTTTGTCTTGTTTTTTGTTTATATTGTTTCTATTTCTGAAATATTTATTATGATTTCTATACTTATTTTTCCTATATTTTTATAAGGTAGTTTCACCATTTTTTACTTTTCATATTTTTGTTTTTTTCTTTATTCTTTGGTCATCACTAATCACTATTACATCCGTATTTTCCTATTTTATCTGTGGAAATTTCACAACAAAGATCAATTTTTGCTTGTTTTTTTTCCAGATTTTCTTCATTACAGGCTCTTTTATGCCATTCTTGTAATGTTAAAATTTGTCCACTTAATGTATCTGGTACTTCTCCTTTTAGAACTGCTTCATTGAAGGCAGTTTCTACTTTTTTTTTTCTTTTGATACTATAAGTGATAATTTAGAAAAGAATAATTTGTCCAAATCTTTTCTTGCTGTTGGAGTAACTTGATAATATTGTATTTTAAATTCACAAAGGAATGGTTCTAGATAACACATATTACAGATTCTTAGATTTGCTAAGTGCATATTAGCTTGATTACTCAGAGTGCATTACTTTCTCTTTCCCGTGGATATCTTCCTAGGAATTCATAGGTTAAAGCATTTTATATTTTTCAAAAGTTTTTATGGCATCGTCTCCGTATAGAACTGTTTTTGTTGGAATATCCATTGTACTTAGATAGTGGTAAAGTTTTATCTATCTATATCTATCTATCTATACATAATATTATGACAATTCAAAAGTAATTGTTTGCCACCTATGCACTTGGAGAGTTCACAAATTGCCAAGGTGGACAATATTTTTACAAAAAGAAAAATAGTTATTGATATATTTATGGAGCTATCTCTCTCTTCATTTAATATTCCATTTCTCTTTTATCCTTTTTTGTATTATATCAATGTACACAATAATAAATAATGTATGAAAAGTGACATATATTACATTTGTTATCTCTAACTTTTTTAATATTTATTTTTATTTTCCAATACTTCCTTTATGTTTTTGTTTTTACTTTTGCATTGTATCGATGTACGCAACAATAGACTAATGTCTTTTAGTCACACATATAACTTTTTTCTCAACCAAAAAAATATCTTATTAAAGCTCACTAAGTAAATTTTTAACTCACTTTTACAATAATCTACAAATATGTTACATTAATGAACAATTTATACAAACACACATACCTAATAACATTTTATCGCGACAAAATGAAGATGGAAATTAAAGAGAGAAAACAAGAAACGTTTGAATAGAAACTTGACCAAGCAATAAAATCTATTTCTTAAACAAAAACGTTATTCATTCTAATTAAGTGAAGACCTATGAATCATAGGTGCAATAATTTACAATGTATCCTAAGTTCAAATTACTAATATTTTGCATTTTTGCTCTAGAACGTTGATAACGATGTAATTGCACATGTTTGCGCCCCTAGTTCTTATCCGTTTGAGGGGCATATTCGTGTGTTTTGGCCTATTTTACGCCGGGTTGTGCTATTTTGTCATATTTCAGGTCCCAGGCGTCAAAGGGAAGGCTAACCACGAGTTTCGGGGCATTCGGAGGTCATTTCGTCAAGCTGGGGCCAAAACACGGGCACACCTAAGGCATTACACGGCCGTGTTCCTGTGGCCGTGCTTTTTATGCCGAGAGCTGAGTTGATTACACGGGCAGGGCAGAGACAAAGCACGGCCGTGTTCCACAAAAGCACGGTCGTGTCCAACGCGAAGCACGGCCGTGTTTCTCCCCAACTGCTGGCCGTGTAATTAACACTGGCCGAGACACGGGCAGGCTCAGGCAAAGCACGGCCGTGCCCTCGACCGTGCTTTGGCCACTGATGCCTTTTTAAGCAGATTTTCAGCCAAACAGAAGGGGATTCGAGTTTTTGAGAGATAGAACGATTCCTAGAGAGAGAAAGTGACGAGCAAGAGTTCCCAAGTGCCCTAGATTGATCTTCAACACCATTGGAGGCCAGTTTGAGTTTGGAGAAGTGCCGATCAACATCCAGGAGCAGGAATCCATCCTTCACAGTATGAATTCCGCGTCTGATTCTGCTTTTGCTTTCTTCTCCATGGAGTAGTTCTCCCATTCATCTGGTTATGGAGAACCCTAAATTTGTATGTTAGGTTTGATTGTATGAACCCAAGTACTGATTCTATGATTGATTGTATTCGATTGAGGTTTTAATGATTGAATGACTTGAATCCTGATCAAATTCATGTTGTTTCTGCTTTGACCTAGAATGAGAATATCTGCCTAGGTTGATAGAGTATCCTTGATTGAAGGTAGGGAGTTGGTGACTTTAGTCGAGGAACCAACTCACTATTCTGTACCGGATTTACTCCGGTAGTGGAGGTTTTGTTCTTAGGGCCTCAATCTGTTTACTCCGGTGGAGGTTAGTCGCCCGCTAGAGATTCAGATTGAGAGGGTCTGAAGACCTTTAGTCGAGACTTCAGGCTGTTTAAGAACCTTCCGCAGTATAACTTTCATAGAAACTGAACTTGGTAATTACAATCCGGCTTAACTGCAGTCTGGGGGGGAACCATATCCGGGTGACCTCTTTAACCTGAATACAACATTTTACTTGTTTTGTTTGTTTGGTAGTTTAGACTTGCATTCCAGTTTCATTGCTAGATAACAAGATCTCACTGAGTAGTCATCAGATCTAGGACCCGGGTTGACATATAAACCTAAACCGCTATACTACGCTTTAGGAAGTGGTTACACTTGGCTAATTCCTAGGGTGACAGTAGAGTCGAGTCAATCGTGTTAATTGAGCAAACTATACTGAAGTTTTACGTCATATGTTAAGAAATTTAATTTTCAAACTTGGAGTAATAAATTTTCAAGGATTATAAATCAAAATTTTTAAAATGACTTCGGTATGATTGTTTATGAACTTGACTTCATTTCTTAAGATGAGACACGAGATACATTAAAAAATGATACATCTGAAAATTAGATGAATCTTTGCTAAACTATATGTTAAACATCATGTGTTCATCAACCACTGACCTATGCATTAATCAAATAAAGGTTTAAAATCTATCTATCTATCTATCTATCTATGACAATTCAACAATAGTTTGTTGCCACATAAGCACTTGAAGAATTTACAAATTATCATGGTTGACACTTTTGTTTTTATTTAATAATTCATTTGTACCTTTTGTAATATATATGTGTAGCAGCAGTATACTAATGTTTAGAGGCTGACATGTATCGCGATTGTTTAAACAAAAATATTTGAATAAATCTTATTAAGTAAATTTTCAGTTTACGTCATATGCTAAGTAGGTGTTAGGCCATTACCTTTTGATTTTTCGTTAGGAGAAGAAATTTTGAGTGAAGGAAAGCAAACTAAATAACGGGTGTTAAATGCAATAGAGAGTGGAGATACTCGTGTAGACGAAACTAACTATGTCAACAATTTGGTGGCGCATGTGAGAAATGGTGCAGGAGGACAAGTTAAAATTCAGCTAGCGATGTTACGATATGGGCCGTGAATTGGTGGACAAAGGTGAGGATTGGACAGAACAGATCTGGTATAGAACTTCAGTAGCGGTCGTGACAAAATATGGGAGGAGACAACTTAGCAATTGATACATATAGAGTAAATAACATTTAAATAGCTAAATCTTTCAGTTTTTTTAAATTATTAGCCAAACCTTTCAAACTACAAATGACTAGCCAAATATTTTGTATCACATCAAAATATTAACCATTTTTTTGTTATCATTAATAATTTAGTAACTCTTTTTTAATTAAAATACTA